GGGGGGGGGGGGGGGGTATGTATTGGTACCACCTTAGTCAAGGAGTACCTGAGAGGACACCTATGGGTTACCTGCTGGGGTAGCAAAATCTTTAGCCAATCCATTTTAACATAAACCGGGATACGACTTTAACCACATATAATAAATAAAATCAACACCTTTTGTGAACATTTTGAAGGTATTCTGCTAAGTTTTGATGTCCCCTAGCTCTGGCAGTGTCTTCTGGCAAGATAGAGCTATTCCTGTATGTTTGAAAAACTGCTTCTCCAGCTGACGTCCTGAAGATTGTTTCAACACATTTGCGGTCATTCGTTGCAGCGGCCGCGAATACTATCCACCGTAGAGCTTTCAGTGACGATTTGTCCTGGTTCTCATCTGCCAACGATGATATATCGCCAGCATAAAACGAGAAGGAAGACGAACTGCACACTATCAAAAATATTTAAAAAAATAATCCAAATATGGTAATCTTCTCCGTGAATTAGTTGGTTTCTCGTTGCAGTTGTGTGTAAATGTTAATCATCAAACTTCTTCAATTAACGAATAAAAGCCAATCACACGACACGCTAAAAACTTTATTAACATTGTAAAGTTCTTTCTGTTCGTGGAAGGTACTGACGCTAGAAGCACGTATACTCAACCCAAAATCCTCAACTTTACTGCGGAGAAGGGCTACCACTCCAAACGTCAGCTTCCGAAATTTTCTACGGTTGCTAATCTTGCCAATCGGCCTTAACAGACTATTACACGTTAATTAAATAATTATGGTCACAATATAAGATGCCATACGCTGTTTACAACTTGAGAAACAAACAGAGAGTCTTACCTGTTCCTGCTGAACGGGAAGGATTTAATGTTTGGTCGTCCAGTGGTATGTTTCTCTTTGTATCAGGCATCTTACTAATCAGCTTTTGGAGTTCTTGGGTAACATTCGGATGGTATTCAAATTCCGTTTCATCGGGCGAGTTCCATGTATCATCTAGAGAACTCACGGTAACGGCGACCTTCCCAAGAGTTACAGAAGCTGAAGTGAAAAATCAATGGCTAACTATCAGGTCAAGGTTTCTTGACCTCAGGATTACAAAGAAATCTGAGTAAAACGTCACCGTAAGGACGAAGCATAGCAGTTTTCATGAATTCATTTCTTTAATTGATTTACCAAACTTCATTCATCGAATACCCAGATTACCTATCAAGGTTGTCGCGTGCACTTTTGTCCTTTTATTCGACAATCTTTCTCAAAACAGCTGTATTTGAAAAGTGTTACTGATGATGATGCTTTTTCCATCAACTCGCAACTTTGGCTCTAATCTGGCACAATTTTGAATTAGCCTGCTGATGTACTCTGACATCAAAATGTAACATAAATTTCAAATAAATTCACCATACCTGGACTATTCCCAGTGTAGACACCTGTAGCAACTTGTGTTAAATCTGCAAATCCAACCCCGTCGAATCGAGCTCTCAGTGATGTGACATTTTCTGGAATACCCTTTACATTCAGGCAAATAACAAACTCTGTACCACCCTATACAGTAATAAAAATCAACAAGAAACGAAGAATAAACAACTTTAAAAGAAGCAGAATACTGTGATGTGTCAAAAAAGAACTAAATGTCATTGTTTATCTTCCTGTGTGGATCGCAAAGTTTCGACTGCCTACTGTACTGTGAGTCTTTTCAGGCGATGACTTCGACTCATTGCGAGTGACTCCATAACCCATAATGCTTCACTATGATCAGCGGGTTTTCATCAACTTAAAATGTCATTAAAAGTGACTATGCGCCACGAAAAGAGTCTAAAGGTGTATATAAAGATCATCTTAACTGGCTCATTTTAAATCGCAGCAAGGAATTGTAAGTCACTGTAGGTCATTCATTCTTTGAAAGAAAGTACGCGCTTTAGTTTCTTGGTCTTCTTTGGGATCCTCCCCTTTTTTTGCCGAAGCAACCGGCAGATCGAATTCTTATTTTCACTTAGTTATGAGGTAAAAAAATAAAATTACAAAAAATACCGTTATGGGGCCTTCTTTGGGGCACAGTTTTGTTATCACTGCAATCAAGGAGGAGAAAAAAGTTTAAAAAACTGAAGAATTCTCGTCACCTGTAATGCTAATAAAAAAAGAAACACTAATATCACATTACTATCTAACATGAAAATAAAAGCTTTGGGTAGAGGCAGAAGATTTGAACCGCTGAGCTGGAGGAATAAACTCTAGGTTAATTCGATATGGTCCCCTTCCCTGACACACAATGTTTAATTAATCCAGCCACAAGCAACATGTAAGATGGAAAATTGAAAGTTACGATTGCATTAGGGGTGTGAGGGAAGCACATACATTAATACAGAGGGGAGTTTTAAGACAAAGGTACAGTCATCATGCTTAGGATCCATAAGTTTTAGCCACCAAAATCAATTATTACGCTTCCTTTGAGCCATCAAGTTGAGATAATTGAGATTTAGAAATATGACGTTCTTTTCATTCTACTGATTTTAACAGAAATAAAAGACAACAATAACAACCTGGCTCAAACAAGGTGATTCCCAAGACATCTTGATAAATCTCGTTTAACTCTCCTTCGGACAAGTTAATCTTTTCCGGAAATAAGATAAAAAATGGTAAAATGGTTAGCATCAATGTAATCACTCTTTTGAGGTAAAGAGTTTATAACTACAGACTTTATACAGGACTCTACTTCTGAGTCATGTGACAATCATATATTAGATACGAAATTTATCCTTTAAAAGTTACCATACCTGATCATGAGGGGAAATCCTGATTGAATCAATCTCTGTGAAATGATCAAATAAAAAAAGAAAGTTGTGCCCCATGAGTAGCATGTAGATCTAGGAACTTAAATATGCTCTGTATATTCTATTAATACGAATTTTGATAAGTTACCTAGTGCACAGCTACTTGGCACCTTTTATTCCCTCAACGACTTTTAAAATTCCCATAACTCATGAGAAATTCCATCGAAAGCATGCAAAAGCTCCTGAGATTGATATGACAAACATTAAAGCTGGCACTCTATCGAATGCAGGTAATGAATTAAGGTAGGGTAACTTTTAAGTTACATCTTGAAAGAAGTACGTCAGACATGCAAAAGTCTTCCTTTACCTGAACATTTTTCTCACAATCTACTCTTTAAAGGTAAAAACCTTTCTTCACCCGGCAAGTTAATCCAAATTAAATATCAAAGGGGCTACGCAACAGCCAAAGTTGGAAGCAAACCATGATAGACTACATACTGAATATAAAATTTACTGCTTCTCTGTCAAGAATTTTCTTAAATCCGTTTACACACAAATCGTCGGAGCCCTTCGTCGGAGCCCTTCGTCGTTAGCCTTTCGTCATTCGCTCCGACGAAGGGCTAACGCTCGAAACGTCAGCTTTTGTAATCGTTACGGTGGCCAATTTACCATTTGAACTTTGTTGATATATTCAAATTATTTCGTTACTCCCACCGACGCAGCCCCAAACAGTTTCTTTCGAAACTATCAGCCTTTATTCAAATCGTCAATCAGTTTGGAAACTTGATTCCCCCCTATAAATTTCAGAATGTACTAATGTGTTCCCTTTAGAAGAAATACTACTCTAAAATTGCATTTAAAGTTTATAGAAATGACTGTGACTTTGAAAACAGTACAGAGACAATTATTAGGTGGTGTAAAACACATTGCACATAGATGCATTTACAAATGAGCAAAAATATTTTTTCTTTACCTTCCAGGCTTGATTCTTCTGAAGTGCTACAGGTAATTTATACAGATCAACAGTTTCAATGAATTAGTAACATAAAAATGCTGTACTGGTTAAATCAATGTTCTAGACAGTTACTACCAGTACTTGAATTGGGCTGCATTTGATTGGTCATTAAAGTAGAGGTATAATGTTAAGATTGGCTTTTAAAACGTCTCAATCAATAATCTGAGGTTACAATAAATAATAGAGGCTGTCTGTGTATACATATTTGCTGCAATTGATGAAAAAAATTGATCTCTTGTATCCCATAATTATTCATGTCAAATTTGATAACATAACAGTTTGTTTTACATTAATGTTAACAATTCAATAATTATGTTCCATGGGAAAGATAATTTCTGAGGCTCCGTATCACTGATACACTGTTCAAAGGTTTGGTTATATTGCGTCAATCAGTTTGAAGCTTCAACATTCTCCCAGGCAACCCCCTGGGCATTTGAACTTTTGATTATTGCTTTGTTCAAATTCCTGCCCCTTCCGCATCACAAAAATGGTGTTTAAATGCTCCACCAAACTTTTTGGTAAAAGGCAAAATCAGCAACCCTGATGTTCTGCACATTGATCAAGATTTAAAACCTACACCTTGTGGACTTTTTCTTCTGAGTTGTAATGAACTACCGGTATTTACCTCAAACCATCTTCATATTAAAAGTTATGTACTTGTTTTCCGCAAGTAAGACTTGGCGCTTTCTCTTTAAATCCCACGTGCCAGCCAGGCAAGGTTCAAATATCCCACTCTTGGGGAAAGGACGACAGTCAAACACCCGTGGGTTGACCAAAGGGAGGATGTTAAAGCTTCAAATCTATCTGTACATAAGTTACACAATTAAGTTTGATTCCCTATTTAGAGTCGAGCAACAAAAAGAGATTTCACACACCCCACTTTGGAATTTTGCAAATAATCTTCAATTCTTGCCACAACACCACTACGTGCTTCTTCAATTTTTCCTAAGTAATTAATACACAAATCAAACACCAATTAAGAATATACACTTACATTTGTCATCATTAAGTATTAATGAAGTATATCAAAGAGTAGCTTGAGTTCATTAATGTTAAGAGCAAACAGCATGATACTATTAATACCCAAAAAAGCAAACATAACAATGAAAAAGCTCCAATCTTAGTCTACATAAAAGGCACCATCCATATCGTGCTTTGATTGGTAGATATTAATTAATTTTAACTGAGGACCAAATCTGAGAGTTTAGAATGGATTTCAGTTACTATAGTAAAAATGTGGTACAAGAAGAAACCCAAGGCTTTGTGCAAGCCTGCTAAGCCATTTGGAACTTTTGTTCTCATTATCACACATCCTCGGAGACCCAGGGGCTGAGTCGATTTCAAGTTAGGGCGTGAAGAGCCCCTGGGGACACTGTCTTACAAGACTAGTTCCAAACGGTCGCAGTCGTTCTGCCATCTGATTGGTGCCTGAAAATCTTTGTGTTTTTCTGCCCAATCAGAGTGAAGTGTGCTTTAGAGTCCTTTCGTGTGTTTTAACACGGAGATACACCAGTAGCTCGGTTGCTCGCTATGTTTGTTTGGACCTTGCGACGGAGATTTACTTGAGGTGAAAAGTCTCAGTCTCAGCACACAATGTAAGAGAAATCGATCAGATTGTCGGCGAAAATCTTACCGGAAATTATACTGAATACTTTCGCAGGTATCACTTGAGAACGTGTTTTAAAGTTTGCGAAGTTTGTATACAACACGATGGTTGCAGTCATTGATATGTCGCTTTAAACGTTAAACGAGATTTAAGCTTAAATCTTTCTAGATTTTTTGCATAATTTGCTGTGACTGAAACTTTGCCAATCCCGTGAAGTTATTTCGTCACACGGGCCACGCAGGTATGTCGGCCAACTGGTACTTGCGCAACTTTCTGTGCGTCCCAAAATCTAATCTTATCTTCGCTTGAAAAAGAAGAAAAGCTAAGCGTGGAAACTTTTGCTTATTAGATGTGGGTAGATGACCCTGTACCACTAAGCTGACATTTGCAATAAAGCAAACCCGCCCTTTCCATCCAATATTTCTTCGTCTTTGGTTTTGTTTTTCCCATGGAAAACAGCATCGGATCGATTCCCAATGATCAAAGGTATTTAACTTGGTCTTCAACAATCGACAGAACAGGTGAAATGACAATGACCAAGGGGCAAGAAGAGAATCCGTGGCCTTCCTAGCTCAAGAATTCAACACTCTAGGCAGCAGTTGAAAGATTACACTCTTTCCAAACCCCTTCGGTAACTAGCCGAAAACATCTCTCCTTCGCACGGTGTTCTCATTAATAAGTTTTTGTTCAGATTTTAATTAGCTAACTGGAAACACAGCTAAGCTTTCTCTTAGCACTTGCTGGAGGTCGTCCACGAACTTAACGTTCTCTGCAACCTTGGCCGTATTGTGACCGACTTTACTACTAAGATTAGATTTTGGCGCGCACAGAAAGCACAAAGCTACGTAGACGAAAGCGCCAGTTGCTCGACATACCTGCGTGGCCCGTGCGACGAAATAACTTCACGGGATTGGCAAAGTTTCAGTCACAGCAAATTATGCAAAAAATCTAGAAAGATTTAAGCTTAAATCTCGTTTAACGTTTAAAGCGACATATCAATGACTGCAACCATCGTGTTGTATACAAACCTTGCAGACTTTAAAACACGTTCTCTAGTGATACCTGCGAAAGTATTCAGTATAATTTCCGGTAAGATTTTCGCCGACAATCTGATCGATTTCTCTTACATTGTGTGCTACGGCTGAAACTTTTCACTTCAAGCAAATCTCCGTCGCACGGTCCAAACAAACAGCGAGTAACTGAGCTATTAGTATATATTCGTGTTAAAACACACGAAAGGACTCTAAAGCACACTTCACTCTGATTGGGCAGAAAAACACAAAGATTTTCTGGCACCAATCAGATGGCAGAACGACTGCGACCGTTTGGAACTAGTCTTGTAAGACAATGTCCCCAGGGGCTCTTCATGCCCTAACTTGAAATCGACCCACAGCCCCTGGGTCTCCGAGGATGATTATCACTGTGATTTGTTTGTGAAGATGGTGCTGAATGGATCTGGAATCAATCTTTAATTGCTCAATTGTCACTTATCCATTTTCATACATGTAGGTCAAAGAGCAATTCCTTGCCCAACCCCTCAAATCATGAAAACTGACATCATGACATTTCTGATGTCCCAGGTGACATATGCTGTGTGTGTGGGCATCTGTGATTGAATGGCAAGCTAGCATTCAAATTAGATTGATACCACTTCTTCAACATCAGCCATAAAATATACAATACCTTTTGAATGCTTCGTCTTGTCATCAACATCAGATGCATCCCCTGCAGCAGTTTCATATGCAGAGTCCTGTAAGTATAGAGAGAGAACAAAGATAAACTACTCTACAAGCACAAAAGAATAAATTTACATCATGACTACCCATCCAAAACAAGAGCACGAAATCATGGCCAGATGGACATATAAACTAGACAAGGGCCTTATAACAAGAACTGGATGAAGAGGCATTAGCTAGGGCCTGCTTCAATTAATCACACTTAACCCAGCATTCAATTTGCTACTTTTTAATGTGGATATGAAGAAGTAGTAAATTCCTGCAAAGCAAAACATCCACAAAAAATATACTAACAAATTAGATGGAGAAAATGCAAAGATACAACAAGACCAAATCCTAACCATGCAAATGCTGAGGGAGATAAATAAAACATGAAACTCACAAGGAAGAGGTTTCATTTAGCTAGAAGCAGAAATAAAACACACACTATCCAGACTAGAAGAGGTGGAACAAGATTTATAGAGGGTGACATATTGACAGAGAGCACAAGAATGATGGTGGATAAATGATGTATGGAAAAAAAATCATAATTAGCATAAATTATTTAGTGTAAAAAGTTTAAGAATTACATAAACGTGAAAAGAAATATATTATAAATTCACCACAACATCATATAAGAGCCTAACAGGACAGAGAAGTAAACAGCCTAAGTAGAACCAGAAAAAAGACCCTAAAAAGAGTTTTTATCAGCCTTGAAGGAAAAAACCTTTTTTTTTTTTTTGAAACAAGAAAAATCTTACGGAACTCCTGCCTATTCTTGTTGATAATTAAATAAAAGATTCCAGAAAAATTCACTTTAAATTTATGGAAAATTTACATGCATGCATAATGCTGCATGCTGCATCATACTCAGAGTAGTTAGAATATATCTATTATCAGTGACTTCCAATTTTTATGTCCATGCTGAATCTTCAGGTCCATGCAAGTACTGCTTGATCAATTCATATATCCATGCAATTCTGTTAACGTAATGTTCCCCCCAACATTTTTTCTGCAAACTGTGAACACCCAGAGCTCTCCCTGTAACACCAATTTTAAATGTACTGTCTTATTGTAGTTTTTCAAAAGGCCTTTAAAACTAAATCCTTATCCAGGAACAAACCGCCCCCTAGATTTCTTAAATGCAAAAAAAACTCCAACTAACTGGTCCAATTGTCAAGAAAACAAACCAAAAGCTGATGTTGGGTGATTTTTGTCATTCAAGTGAAAGCAAGATTTGAGTGATAATATTTGTTGACAATTAAGATCGAGGTCTCTTATTGAGCTCTGAAATCAGGTGCATTGGCAAATTAGTTGCGTCAACATATATAGATGGGTAAAGATATTCAGCATTGTCTGGCCCTTAATTGTCCTGCTCTTGATAGCCTTGTCTGGCCAGTCATAGCTAGCCCAGACAAGAGCGCTTATTTAACATCAGATTCTGTATGGCTCATTATTCAGCTGGGAGCTGGACAACTGTTTTGTCAAGCCCTTGTCATGTCGATGTCTGACTCTATAACAAAAATCAGGCCATGTTAAGGCTCTGTCAGGCTCCAAAATTTTTGCATGAGTAGATGTAGAATTAATGCTACCAAAAAATTACATAAACTTTAATCTGCTGTTACATACTTATACTTTAAATCAGGACGTCAAACATTTTCCTAAAAGTATGGTGCAGAACTAGCTAAGAGAACTTAATGCACTTTGATCCCCTAACCAATTTAGGAGTTAATTGACTGTATTGATTAGTCTTAGGGAGCCAGTTGCTGGGTGACCATGCATGCATTAATTACTAACTGAAATGTATCTATATAGCTATGTAATCTATATTTTTGTGCCAAAGGGAGCAAGTGAAAAGTTCTATTTTCATCTTATAAATTGCTTTTGAATTGGAATTAATCATGCAGTTTTTGCAACTGTTCAAAAACCAATCCAGTTTTAGCATGCTGAGTGTGCGATCCTTTGTTGTGCTTGATTTCAGTATTTACACGTGTGCGCCAACTTGTTTTACTCTCTCTGGTTATCCTTGTCATGGCTGCTTGTAAGTTGCTTGTGAGTTCACAATGTTCTAATTCAACGAGTTGAAGTTTGAGAACGTGAGCCAATTCTTTATACTTGATACTTTATTTTTCAATTGGCAGGGATTAAGAGTGAAATATACTTATCAACCCTGAAACTCCCAAGAGTGACCGAGAGAGAATTTCTCCTTACAATATCAATACCAATTCAAGCAGACAAGTGATGAGGATAAACAAAATAAATTAATCAGGGGATTATTCATTGATCCAACACTAAACTCTTGAAACTAACACCACAAGAATTGTATATGTGTCAGACAGTAAGGAGAATTACTCATGAGATATTGGGAGTGAAAGAGAATCACTCTGTCATCATACCAGCTAAGTTTTCCTTCTTCAGAGATAACATCCAAAAAATGAATTAAACCAAAGTTTTTGATTGAAACAAAATTTTACATTTTGCAAAAGTACATAAGGCATGAGCTCAGAGTAAACTTGGATAATGTTGCAAAGTCTGAGATATCTTATGTTAAATGGCAGAAGAGAATTTATAGGCATAGAACTTTATGACCAGAAATTACACTGTAATAAGATCCTTCTACCACTCCTTTTAAAGAAAAAGTTTAATATGTTCTCCCAAAAGGCTAAAAGCAAGTATTCTTGCAAGTTACTCACTGACTTAATTATACTATACATTTTCTTTCTGCCATTAGTTAATCTGCCTATACGTTCTTTATTTTCGTGCTTATTTCCGCTATTATTTGTATTTTTAGCTTGTAACTAGTTTTTGTCTGTGTGTTTCTTGTTGTTGTATGTGTTACTTTAAGAACTCTTAAGTACCTGACACCGTTATAGTCATTACAGTATTTAAAATCCTAAGGATGGCTGCTCAATTCTATTAGCCTAGGGGTTATTTTGGGCAACCATGCACTTTATTTTATTTGCTTTATTACTTTTTTGTAATGTAAATAATTTAATTTCATTCAGGGTGCTGATAAAGTTATTGTTGTCGTTGTTGTTGCCCATCAATTTTATACTCATATGATAATTTTATTCTTGAGACATGACTACAAATTCATTGTGTAATAAAGTACGTATACTAGATGAGGCATTTTGAGCCACCATCTACTGCAAGTATTGTTTTTCACTTAAAGGACTTAGGTTTTTAAAAAGATTACTCACAAGACAAGCTTGTTTTTTCAGAAATGGCACTCGAATTCATGTATTAAATACCTGCTCTAATACACTTAAAAATAATTAACAACACTAGAAATCATTGTCAAGAGTACCTCAGTAATCACTTGGGGTTCCTTAGAGTGATCTTCTCCAGTACTTTGTTTCAGACCTATATGTTACATGTTACATGTTACAAACAAGAAAAAGTCCATCAAAGAATCTGTAAAGTCATATTTTCCTGAACTCAATAGCTTTGAAACACTGATAATAAAAAGCTGTTGAATTAATTATTATGAGCAGTAAATTTTTTACATGATTGTACCAATTAATGTGGTTAATTGATTCAGTGGAGGTGAAAACAGAAAATCATTTTGTTTCTCATGAGACTAAATATAATTTAGGCATGGCTAACCCTTTGACTCCCATGTGTGACTAAGACAGAGTCTCTCCCAATAATTAATATCAATACAATACCAAGTAGACAAGAGACAAGAATAAAGAAACTTATTACATCACTCACAATGCCCATGGGCAAGATGAAATGAATCCTGTGTTCTGATTGACTACCCAAGTGGGCAAGATGGGCCTATCTTGCCCACTTGGGATTGCCCACATTGATCACATGCATGGAAAAATTGAATTTATTTATAAGTTGGTAATTGTAGGACAATTTCAGTGATGGAAACTCGATAGTCAGTTCGACACACTACAAGCAAAGTTGGCTTTCTTTCCTGGCTCCCGAAGTTAACAAGTAACTCTTAATTCTTAATATAATGAAATCTTTTTGCAATATATCAAATAAACACTAGCGAGAAAAATACACAACGTTTCGATGACTCCATGTCATCATTCTCATGTGAGAAGAGAATAAAAATGAATAGTTAATTTATGCCGTACGAAGGTGGCAAACGTAAAAAGTTTAAAATATTTAAAATATTTAAATAAATAATTGCACGTGTTGAGTTCATAAATGTAAACTATTAAATAAATAGTTTCGCGCGTATGGAATCCGATTGTTTGTTCAAAGAGGGCTTCATCTTTTTTATGAAAAGCATTTCATGAACTAAACAGTCCAGTTTCCCGGTGCACTTTTTAAGTACGTTGAAATGCTTGGTCAGGTCGCCGATGGTTTGTAGGCCGTGGTCGTTCTTTAGATGTTTGCCGATGGCCGAATTACGGTGCTCATTAATACGTTGATGTAAATGCCGGCTGGTGTACCCGACGTACTCTGCATCACACAGATCACATTTATAATTATATACAACGCATTGTTGGCTAACTATAGGAGGTTTAGGCTCACGTACTCTGAGATCTTCACAGATTTTGCGACTCTTGAACACGGGATGAAGGGTGTGATCGATTTTGTTGCTTAGATCTGATAATTGCCTTTTCACTGCGTCAGCTGACTTTTGATCTTTAAAAGGCAAAACCACTCGGTGAACAGCATTTTCGTTGATGGATAATTGAGCTTGCACTCCAGGGTTTTCCGACCTAACTGAGGTGACAAAGTGAGAGATGGTGGAATTGATGAGGTGGTCGGGATACTTGAGGTTTGTAAACATCATCTTTAGATGATCACATTNCCCTGGAGTGCAAGCTCAATTATCCGTCAACGAAAATGCTGTTCACCGAGTGGTTTTGCCTTTTAAAGATCAAAAGTCAGCTGACGCAGTGAAAAGGCAATTATCAGATCTAAGCAACAAAATCGATCACACCCTTCATCCCGTGTTCAAGAGTCGCAAAATCTGTGAAGATCTCAGAGTACGTGAGCCTAAACCTCCTATAGTTAGCCAACAATGCGTTGTATATAATTATAAATGTGATCTGTGTGATGCAGAGTACGTCGGGTACACCAGCCGGCATTTACATCAACGTATTAATGAGCACCGTAATTCGGCCATCGGCAAACATCTAAAGAACGACCACGGCCTACAAACCATCGGCGACCTGACCAAGCATTTCAACGTACTTAAAAAGTGCACCGGGAAACTGGACTGTTTAGTTCATGAAATGCTTTTCATAAAGAAGATGAAGCCCTCTTTGAACAAACAATCGGATTCCATACGCGCGAAACTATTTATTTAATAGTTTACATTTATGAACTCAACACGCGCAATTATTTATTTAAATATTTTAAATATTTTAAACTTTTTACGTTTGCCACCTTCGTACGGCATAAATTAACTATTCATTTTTATTCTCTTCTCACTTGAGAATGATGACATGGAGTCATCGAAACGTTGTGTATTTTTTCGCTAGTGTTTATTCTTAAATGTCTCACAAAATCTAATGTCATTCGAATATATCAAATCTTTTATTAACCAAGCTTGTTCAGTCAAGATGGCTGGGTATAGAGGTTTTGCACAGCAGCCATGTTGGATGGCAGGAATGATGAAAATATTTGCATAAGAAAGAATTTTTTCCCATGGGTAAAATAATCTATTGTTCCTGCCATCCAAAATGGCTGCTGTGTAAAACCTCTATAGGCCTTGCTCTTATTCTGCATCTTTTATTTTTTTTGCACAAAATGCAAAAAAAAAAGAGAACTCAGCCAATATCCAGCCATCTTGATTTCTTTGCCTCATGATGATATCTTGTATCAATTAGGGGATTAAAAGTTGATCCAATACCAAATTCTTTAACTAACATAGTAAGAATTGTGTGCAGACAGTAAGGAGAATTACTAATTACATCTTGGTAGTGAAAGGCTTACAACCAAGTCATGCAGAGCTTAACAATTTTTGGGAATTGCCATTTAATGTACTTTTGCTCAATTTGCCTGGTTACTTTGCTTGCTTTTTTTTCCTTTCCTTCCTCAGCCCCCCTCCCCCTCAAACTTTTAGGTAAATACTCAATGAACTCACCAATTTGTTGGTTTTGTGTTTTTTGAAAGGTGCCTGAATTGCAAAGGAGGCCTGCGGTTGAGTTGTCTCCGTGATATCCTAGTTGCGCCTGAGGAGATTGCTGCTCTCCTTCTTTGCTACCTTCATGGCAAGTACCCTCTCGTACTATCAATAATTAAGAGTATTTTAATGAAAAATATAAACATTCATTATTAGCTTTATATTGCAAAAGATTTTTTTTGTCTTATCCCAAGCCTATGACAAAGAAAAAATTCTGAGTCCCCTCGATCAAACCTCAGAACCTCAGATTCTGCACTCCAGTGCTCCAGATCTACTAATGAGCCTAAGAGGCTCTATGGAAAGTAAGGCCCATTATGAAGTTTATAATTTCACAATTAAGACACGTGTCCTACATACTGCTAGGATTGACAATGTCAATAGCTTAATTCATGTTTTGTAATTAGAGAACTTCCTTTTAAAGCTTTATAAATCTATGATATTTCTTGATTTTTTTCCAGAATTTCTGGTAGAAATCTTGTGTTCCTTGTATGTGCTAACTTGCATTTCTTGCACAACTGTCATGAATTTAAAGTAACAGAGCATTTCAAAGATCAATTTTCATATTGTTTACCTGGCTCCTTCACACTTGCCCCTGTACTTGACACTACCTCTGGTACAAGTGAAGAGCTGGGATCATGTTGTCTTTTCAAACCTCTAAGCTTCTCTGAATAATAAGATGGAGGTGAACCTACAAACCAAAAAGAAAATGCTTTCAACAAGAATCTATATATTCCGTGTTAACTGACCTTTCATCTTCAAGATTTTTAAACTTATCCTCAATTATCATAAAGGCCAATATCACTGACTACAGGATTAGACTTATCATTAATGATTCCACTACTTGTTCATCCATTTTCTTGTGTTTTGGCTACTAATTGTCTTTTAATTACATCCTTTGTATATGATAGTGGCACGTTATCTGAGAATGGCATATATTACAGTCAAAATAGATCTTGGAATTCCTAGGAATTCCTAGGAATTACTGGGAATAAGAGGTGTGAATTTCCACGGTAAATTCGGACCAGGAATTCCTAGGAATTCCAAGGAATTCCCAAAAAAAACCTAGAAATTCCCAAAAATTATATGTTTATTGCCAACAGGACTTGGAATTCCTAGGAATTCTTAGTAATTCCAACTCAGAGCACAAATGACTTCCCTGAAATACTGTGAATCTAAAAACTTGCTGGAAATTCCAAGGAATTTTTAGGAATTTCTAGGAATGTTTAAGAATTATCGGAAATTTTAGGAAAACTTCAAGGCAACTAATATCAAATAAATACATGCATGCATTAACTCCCAACTAAAAATTCAAGTGGTCAATGAAATTTATTAACATGCTTAAATCAGGTTTACATGTTAATTGTTTGCTATTGTATATTAACAACAACATGTATGAAAATATTGAAGGGCCACAGCCAGGATGAAAAATTTAAATTTCAACTATCAACATGTGGTAATATTAGGATGAAATTTCTTTTTCTTTTCTTGAAAACTTCGTAATAATTATCCTCAATTACAGCTATTCATTTAAAATAGTCCTAGTAAATCATTTAATTTGGTTGGACACAAATTGTGAATAAAATCTGTTGATTCTTTTTCATGAAATGCAATAACTTGGGTTATGTTTATTGCAATAAATACTATCAGTCAAAAAATAGTCTTGAAAGGAATCATTTCATTTGGGATGATGATACAAATGATATTTTATCCTTTCCTCTCTGAGTCAGGCTTTGACTTAATGTGGTTGTAACTTCTTTGGATAAAACTCGTGTGTGTTAAAATTCAAATGTAAGCTGTACAGCAGCATCTTCATGTTATGTTGTTTGTTTTTGTTGATTCTGCAAGTTGAAATTTAGAGATTTCTCAATTTTGACTGAACACTCTTGGGAGTGAAGGGCTTATGAATTACAGTTATATAATTGACTTTTTAATTGTTGTAACTCTTTCTAACTGTTGTAACTGTTTTTAATTGTTGTAACTGTAATAATAACTAACTAACAAATAATAAATAACTGTAATAATAAATTGCAATAAAGTTATCCCAAACTGCAGACTAAGCAGCTGTTTGTCTTTTTCTGCTGGGCTCGCAGCTTGCCAAATGCGACTAAACTAATCCTGAAACCTTTAGCTTACTGATAGATTTATTTCATTGTAAAGCGTAAGCCTAAGAAACTGTGGCATGCAAGTGACCAATTCGATTCTCAGTTTTGATCACACACCAAATATGCCAATTTGTACTCACCCCAAACTCTCAGAATCATAGCTTTATAAAGGGCCGCTTGACCCTTGTACCCGCCAGTCGATAACTGTTTTCTCTTCTTTTAACTTCACGGCACCAACAACTTGCTTTTCATTTACAACACTCACGCTATTCTCGTTTTCCCACCGCACAACAGTATTAAGCAAAACAGTTGAGAAAAGAAATACCTTAACCCACAAGCAATCAATGGATGAAAAGTACATTCAAAGATGAGTGCCCAATGGAGTTTTCTTTGCCTCTGATCACAGGCATTATCATGTGGATATTTTGGGAATTGTCAATGGCTTGTAAAGAGAATCCGCTGGCTTACCTGATTGCAGTCTTAAGAGTACGCGCAAGGTGGTAAAGCGTTTATGTTAGGTCCATATCAAGGGTAGATGGGGGTCAACATGGTAGAACATGGCTAACCTAGGGTAGATGAGGGTTAACATGGTAGAACATAGCTAACCTAGGGTAGACGGGGTTAAATGGCGTAGAACATGGCTAACCTAGGGTAGATGAGGGATAACATGGTAGAACATGGCTAACCTAGGGTAGATGGAGGTAAATGTGGTAGAACATGGTTAACCTAGGGTAGTTGGGGTTAAACATGGGAGAACACGGCTAACCTAGGGTAGATGTGGGTAAACGAGGTGTAACACGGCTAACCTAGGGTAGATGGGGGTGAACATGGTAGAACATGGGTTACCTAGGGTAGATGAGGGTTAACGTGGCAGACCATGGGTAACCAAGGGAAGATGGGGGTAAACATGGTTGAACAAAGCTAACCTAGGGTAGATGTGGGAAAACGAGGTGTAACACGGCTAACCTAGGGTTGATGGGGGTGAACGTGGTAGAACATGGGTTACCTTGGGTAGATGAGGGTTAACGTGTCAGAACATGGCTAACCTATGGTAGATGGGGGTAAACGTGGTAGAACACGGCTAACCTAGGGTAGATGAAGGTTAACGTGGTAGAACATGGCTAACCTAGGGTAGATGGGGTTAAACGGGGTAGAACACGGGTAACTAAGGGTAGATGGTGGTAAACGTGGTAGAACATGGCTAACCTAGGGTAGATGTGGGTAAACCAGGTGTAACACGGCTAACCTAGGGTAGATGGTGGTGAACGTGGTAGAACATGGGTTACCTAGGGTAGATGAGGGTTAACATGGCAGAACATGGCTAATCAAGGGTAGATGGGGGTAAATGTGAGAGAACAGGGCTAACCTAGGGTAGATGGGGGTGAACGTGGCAGATCATGGGTTACCTAGGGTAGATAAGGGTTAACATAGCAGAACATAGCTAACCTAGGGTAGATGAGGGTAAACGTGGTAGAACATAGCTAACCTAGGGTAGATGGGGGCAAACGTGGTAGAACATGGCTAACCTTGGGGTAGATGGGGGTAAATGAGGTGTAACACGGCTAAACTAGGGTAGATGAGGGTCAGCATGGTAGAACATGGGTAACTTGGGGTAGATGATGGTTAACGTGGTAGAACATAGCCAACTTAGGGTAGACGAGGTTTAACGTGGTAGAACATGGGCAACTTAGGGTAGATGGGGGTTAATGAGGTAGAACAAGGGTAATTAAAAGAAGATTAAGGTAACTGATAGAACAAGGTTAGCTATAGTTAGGACATATCGTGCAAAATACATAAAGGTAACAATACTGTGGTATTGATGGATATTAGTTATCGGGACGTGATATGGACCTAACACGAACGCTTCACCCGTCACCCACAAGGTTCAGCTGATAGATGGTGTCGACGATGGTATAACCTTGGATCCATGTTTTGAAGAGATTGATGATATAAATGATGATTTTAACTCACTCTTCGTAGAAATAATCGAGAAGAATCAAACAAACTACAAATGCACGATTTTTGGCCGAAAGCTGTCTAAGAAAGAGACTCGAAACCCTGACTTAAGTTGTGTTCACGGCAAAAATGAGAAACAACACATTAGGCAATCACAACTTTGAGTGTGATTACAAATGTGTTTTACCCTTATTATTATAACAGATGGATACTACATTAGAAAGTGTAAGAGCTGCTTAGATGATCACAGTGTACCAGTACCCAAATCAAAGAAGTTGGACAGTAACAATCGTGCAGCAACACATTCCAACACAGCCATCTCGATTCGTTAGTCTTTCGCTTCCACTGAGCTAGCAGCAGTGCCAACAGAGTCAAGTGCGTCTCATAACAAAGAAACATTTGTACAAGAGAAGGAAGTGATTATAGTACGTTATAATTCTTGCCCACAAATGAATGTGCACATTCCAAAGCATTGTCCTTATGATTATATTTATGTTTTATAATTTTGGCACATCTGTGGACATGAGACATTTTGCATCACAATAAAAACTTTTATGATTGTTTAATTCAAAGAGGCCTTTGAGGTTGGAAAGTAAATCTGTGATGTGAGTACATTGGATTTAAATTGACTATTTGCACTCGATAACTGACTGCTGCTTTATGAAAAAATGCATATAAATGTTAAGATTTACTAATACTTTAATTAAATAATAAATTTCAAGATAAACTTGTACAGGTATATACATTTCTTGGTATATTTTGTTTAGCATATCTTTAATTGAACAAAGTTTTTAAGCCTCTAAAATTACTCCTTATCTTAAAACCTTCACATTCAAGGTATTAGAAGTTCTTGGAATTATTTGGATTTCAGGGTTATTTAATTTGCCTCAAATTCAATACCCAGAAATTCCCAAGAATTCCACCCTTGTTAACTTAAAGGTAGTTTGCATAGCTGAGAATTCCTAGGAATTCCTAAGAATTCCAAGTCCTCACAAAACTGGAATCTTCCTTTCCCAGAAATTCCCAGTAATTCCAAGCTTTTCAAATCAGAACTTGTTTGCAGAGTAGGTAATGTTTGAGAATTCCTAGGAATTCCAAGTCCTCACAAAACTGGAACCTTCCTTTCCCAGAAATTCCCAGTAATTCCAAGCTTTTCAAATCAGAGCTTATTTGCATAGTTGGGAATTATTGAGAATTCCTAGGAATTCCCAGAAAACTGGGAAATTATTCAGTTCACAAGGGTGATTATTCAGACTTCAATTATCCAGAGTTTTGATTATCTGGACTCACGCACTTCTCTCACTTGTAATTAAGATTTTTTCTTCATTCTGCATCAAATTTCCTTCCTTTTTGAGTGGACGGCACAGAGATCCTTAGAAAAAAAATGTCTTCATAAAAGGCAATGGCATTGAATTTAAACTCAACATGGGAGCTGATGTCTCAGTTGTTCCCAACTTCATCATTCCTAAGCTGACTGCTACACTCCACAATCCTAAGAGGACCTAGCTTGCACAGGGTCTAATGAGTCCAAGCTTAAAGTTGTTAGAGTAATCTGTGCCATCTTAAAAGCCAATCACTTGGAATGAAAGCCAGAGATCTTTGTTGTGAGGAATTTGAAAACTGCACTACTTGGTGGGCCCACTGTTTAAGCTCTGAACCCATTGAAATTTGTAAACACTGTAGAAGAGTCAAACAAAGAGTATGTGCAAGCCAGACAACCTAAACTTTTCAAAGGATTAAGAAAACTTGATGATAAATACCACAATCAACTTAACCTGGCTCTGAACCTGATGAAATTTGTTTAGGCAATCTTTATTGCTGCTTGCACTCCATTAGCAACCATTAATGTAAGTTTTGCAGCAATGGGCTTAAGCTTCATTTAAGTTGAAAATTGAGAGTTGAAATCATAATTGCTGTTCAGCAGAATTTACAAAATTGTAAGATTTGTCACAGGTAACTGTTAGATAGGTTACCCAATAGTGAAATGTGTTTAGTTGATAATCTTCTGAGACTTTACAGGATGCTTCTGTGTTTCTATAGGCAGTTGGCATTTCAAGTTTTACAGAGCTTTAACATATTACCTTGTCATGCTGTCACCAAAGGAATTCAACTGTTGGCAAAACTTTGGGAGCAAAAAATCTACTTTCTTTTCACTCCAATGGCCAAGTTCTTTAAACAAATTAATCGAATAATTTTGTAAATGAACTTACCCAAATGCATTAAGATTTATTTTGATAAAGACTCCCAAGAAACTAACCTAAAAACCATTTGGGGGAATTGACCATTGTTCATAATGGATCTCCCGCAATGGGCTCACAGTAAAATTTATATCGGTAGATTTTGATCAGCAAACTTGACAGATAAATTGAAAAGCATACAACCAACAGGAATATTGAAAAATCCCTCAGAAGGTTTGAAGACCTGAAGCCTTCAGGATTGAAATCTTGTACAAGTTTTATTTGTGCAGTCAGATTTGATATGCATTTAATTTTCTTAAAAAAAAAACATTAGGTTTAAGATTAGATCAAGCTAAAATGAAACAGTTTTTGCCAAATAGTGCATTTCATAACCTTTCCCTTGATATGTTGTTTAATTATAGCAGTCGTGCTTCAAATGGTGCATTAAATTTTTTTGCAAAGAAAATGCACCTGTGAATTAATTCAGAGGTCTACTGTAATTCCTTAAGTGCATAATACTCTGGGATATTTTTCCTGTTTAATTTATAATTGCCCTTATCTGGTACAACAGTGCATCAGTGGAATAATTATTATAATCATCTTGTAGTCTAGATACACATGTACATTCATGATCTTACCCATTTGTTCATGCATGGGTGTCTGCAGTTGTTGTTTAAGACTGTCAACTGTTTGAGCCTCTGGTCTTTCAAAGACTAATTCAGGAGTTTCCTATACAGTCAGAGTAAAAACATATAGCTTAATTTCATTGAAATCTTGGTTAAAAGAGATAAACAAACAAATCTATGCAATTAATACCTATAAATTTTATGACTTTCATTGGGCCTCAAAATTTTACCTCTCCTTGGAACTAGTAACTTTAAAATTTGAAAACATGCACATCGATCCAGTCACTCTCAGCCTTTTAACGAAATTCCACAATACCTCCCAACACAGCCTAGTAAGCATGTTTTCTGGAATCACCAACCACTAATCTTTGTGATCACAAAAATGTCTGATTTATAGTTTTCACAATAAAATAGGGAAGAGCTAGATTTCTGCACCATAAGATTGACTGGGCAGAACTTTTCAGGAACGAGCTCCTCAAGCAAGGGGAGTACAATTAATATCCCTTGTTGCTTAATGCTTATGTCCCTGACTCAAGAGCAGACTTTTAAGGCTAATTCTAAAGTACCATTAAAAGAATAAAGGCTGATAGTTTCGAAAGAAACTGTTTGGGGCTGCCTCGGTGGGAGTAACGAAATAATTTGGATATATCAACAAAGTTGAAATGGTAAATTGGCCACCGTAATGATTACTTTTGTAATCATTACGGTGGCCAATTTACCATTTCAACTTTGTTGATATATCCAAATTATACCATTAAAAGAAATACTTAAGATTTCTATCATTTAAAACATCTCTTTGAATCACCTAAAAAATCAAAATATGCAGAGTTGAAATGTGGAGCAGAGCATTATTTTTAATATACAAACCTCAAAATATACATAAAGGGCAGAATTCCCCCTTATACGCCTGTTAATCTTGGTTCCATCCCATACTGTTGGAGGGTTGTCATGGAACTCCATTCTTGTTCTATTCTCCACAAGTGTTCCACAGTAAAATCTAAAAATTTGCGGTTACAATGAAGATATATCCATAAGAAGAGAACTTAAAACATAGAAAAAAACCATCAATCATTGAATAGTAGGTTTAAGGTCGAAGGAATGGTAGACAATCAGTGTAAGCTGCTGTTGATACTGAACGGTGGGACTGTAAGCATACCTTTAATCAACAGGGACTGCACAGACCCCCTCTCCTTGTGTTTTTGAGGTGTAGATTTATAATTAAGGGGATCCCCTTAAATTTACACCTCAAAAAAACACAATGAGTTTTGCACAGTATGGATTTTGGAACCTATGATAATTATAGCCAATCATTAAAAAAGACATTAGGCAGCTAGCTGACCTCTTCTTTGTGATATTCTAGTGACACTCTTAAAGCTAACTAAGACAATTTTCATTTGCTCTGATGAAAGGCTAATACTTAAAAGGTCAGCTTCAGAAACTCTTCACAGTATCATCCAATTTACATTATTAACTCTGATCCTTTGATTATATAAAATTATATTTGGACAATTTTAGTTGCCATGGATATTTGAAGAAAATATATGTGACTTAATTTGGTGTTCTGCCTTTGGCAGTCATACAAGTAATTTCTATACCACTTAGTTTTTATGGTCTAAAATCAAAGTGAGGAAAGTTTTACAAAATTTCAATCATATGCCTTGTTAATAGTTTTCTTCTTAGAGAGATTGTCTGATCTTTCTCCTAGCATAAGTATTAAGAGTTGAGATTACCGCAGGTGAATCTCCAGATACAAATGCCAGCCATTCTGCTTAATCTAATCAAAAGCCATGTGTTTTGTCCAGTCACTCGTGTAATATTGCCCTCCCTTTTTAATGCCTACTGTCTCATATGGGGACATGCAAAGCCATAAAGTTATCCTGTTGAGTGTCAGTGAGTGAGTGTAAGAGTAAAATACAAACAATTACTTCTTAGCCCAAAGTGTTCCCAGTTTTGTCCCATACGCCTTGCTCTAGGCCTTTTTTTGATTTGCAATATCTTTGATTTCTTTGAATTGCTTTTAATATTACTCTGAATTAGCACATGATTGCACTGTTTCCCACAACTACATTTAAGAGCTTTACCTTGTAGAAATGTCTTACAAGGTGTGATTGATACATACATGTACATCATAAAAACTTGGAGGAAAATATTTTTTCTTTGAAGAGAGAGCTACACTTCATTGTTTAACTCAGCAAATTAAATTTATTATAATGCTACTGACCTACTGCAGACTCTATGGTGAGCAAGGGTCAATTTGTGGGCCTCGACTGGAGCCGCATCGCGCGGCTACACAGCCAAGTATTGGTAAGCACCTGTGAAACTCACTAACAGCATCACGCTGTCACATTAAGGCATATCAAGATGCGGCCAACCAACCTCCAAAGTGAGCATGTAAAGATGAAACAATTTTTAATGTAATAGAAAAATCCGAGCCCCAGATGGGACTTGAACCCACGACCCTCCGTGATCTAGTCGGATGCTCTAACCACTGAGCTACTGGAGACTCTATGGTGAGCAAGGGTCAATTTGTGGGCCTCGACTGGANAAAAACTTCCCCAAGAAATTATTATTTTGTAAGCAAAAACCGGATTTTTTAGCTCCCTTTTGATTTTAAGCTGACACGTACGCTTGCCATATTTGTAGATTATGGTATATTGGCTCATATACCATAATGGCTAAGCCAATAAAAAGTCTTGAATTGCATTATCCAATGATCCAGTTTTTAATAACATCAAATTATACAATACCCAGCAGACAAATGAAGAGAATAAAGAATAAATATCAATAAGGGGATTATTAGTTCATACAATACCAAATTCTCCAAAGCAACATCACATCAATCGTATGGCAGATAGTAAGGAGAATTTATTCATGGGATCTTGAGATTGGAAGAGTTAATATTGGTTAATTTAAATGACAATAAAAACTGGAGGAAGAGCATTCAAATTTTGTATTAAAATGTTCGCCTGCTATTTTCAAATGGATTTCCCAGCCTTATATTTGATAGGTTCAAAATAACCAAGGAGAATATGCCAACAAATCCATCCCTCCCTCCCTTCCCACTTGAATTTTTGCTGTACGGGTCCTTAATATTTCCCTAACTCTTAGGATTGACCATTAGACAGAATTTCTCCCGACAATATCATGATCAATAAAATATCAACCAGACATGTGATAAGAGTAAGAAAAAATGACAGTCCATAACAATTTACCTTCCATCTTTTTTCAAAACCAGGAATTGGCGACGGAGCTCTTCCTCCACATCCTTTCCTGTCATAGTCTTAGGAAACTTAATCTTCGTTTTAAATTGCCCTCGTTCGGGCTTCTTCAGTTGAGCCATCTCTATGGTGTTCGGCATATAGACTTTACCGTCTTTTTTGCGCACATCATGGCTCGTCAACACCAAAACATTTTTCAAGTTTGATTCTCTCTTGCGTGTTGTTGAGCCAAGGTTATCCCTCTTTTGCCTCTTAGGATCTGGCTCATCACTACTTGACATATCTTCTTCGCTTCGAGAGCGCTCCATCTTAGGGCTCCAATTAAAATCAAAAATTTCACAAACCAACATGATTTCAATTTCTTGACAAGCCATGAAGAAGGCTAACTGTATTTTGCGAAACGAAACGAAACGAGTAAACCCGTACTGTATTTTGCGAAACCAACTCTTTGAAGACTCTGGCGATATATAACTTATTTCTTCCGATTCTTAAATACTATTCGTAGATACAACTGGATGCAGTGATGATTTGTAAATAAAGAGTTTGAGCCAAAAGGTCAGAAGTGCACCGTTTCATTAGAGTATTCAAAGAGCTCGTTTTGCAAATTACAGATTTACATATCTGTAATTTGCGAAATGGCACACTTCTGACCTTTTGGCTCAAACTCTATATTTACAACTCATCACTGCATCGAGTTGTATCTACGAAAAGTGTTATAGAATCTGAAGAAACAAGTTACATATCATTAGAGTCTTCAAAGAGCTCGTTTCGCAAATTACAGATTTACATATCTGTAATTTGCGAAACGGCGCACTTCTGACCTTTTGGCTCGAGCTCTTTATTACAAAATCATCACTGCATCGAGTTGTATCTACGAAAAGTGTTATAGAATCGGAAGAAATAAGTTACATATCATTAGAGTCTTCAAAGAGCTCGTTTCGCAAATTACAGATTTACATATCTGTAATTTGCGAAACGGCGCACTTCTGACCTTTTGGCTCAAACTCTTTATTTACAAATCATCACTGCATCGAGTTGTATCTACGAAAAGTGTTATAGAATCGGAAGAAATAAGTTACATATCATTAGAGTCTTCAAAGAGCTCGTTTCGCAAATTACAGATTTACATATCTGTAATTTGCGAAACGGCGCACTTCTGACCTTTTGGCTCNAAAATCATCACTGCATCGAGTTGTATCTACGAAAAGTGTTATAGAATCGGAAGAAATAAGTTACATATCATTAGAGTCTTCAAAGAGCTCGTTTCGCAAATTACAGATTTACATATCTGTAATTTGCGAAACGGCGCACTTCTGAACTTTTGGCTCAAACTCTATATTTACAAATCATCACTGCATCGAGTTGTATCTACGAAAAGTGTTATAGAATCGGAAGAAATAAGTTACATATCATTAGAGTCTTCAAAGAGCTCGTTTCGCAAATTACAGATTTACATATCTGTAATTTGCGAAACGGCGCACTTCTGACCTTTTGGCTCAAACTCTTTATTTACAAATCATCACTGCATCCAGTTGTATCTACGAATAGTATTTAAGAATCGGAAGAAATAAGTTATATATCGCTAGAGTCTTCGAAGAGCTGGTTTCGCAAAATACAGTACGGGTTTACTCGTTTCGTTTCGTTTCGTTTCGCAAAATACAGTAAGCCATTAAGAAGTCCTAATTTGTTTTCCAGTGCAGAAATCAATCCTTAGTCGCACTTCGTAAAAGACAAACTTTTAAGAAATCTTAATTTTTCAGTGTGGAGATAACATACTATCAACTTCTCAACTCCTTACAACAAATTTCTCAGTACATAGACACCACTCACAGTACAATAACAACAACTCCCTATGAAGTTGCCGATGTTGCAATTTTGGCTAACTACGCGTAACACTGAGGAGATCGATCGGTGAACACAATATTACAAAAATACCCCACGGGTTTTTAACCTAGGCAAAAACACTTGCACAGGGGAAACCCATCGACTACATCAGGGAACTGAAGAACAAGTAGTGCATTAGAGAAATACGTTGCTCTTACTTTCTTGATGATGTTCTGTTCCGTTTCATTGCTAGCGTCTGGCTCTCCATTCGATTATTGACATCAGACATTCCGATTTATCACTAAGCATGTTAGTCAAGCTTAGAGACCAAAATGGTGTTCTTTCCCATTACTTAAACATCAACAGAACCGTTGAATATAATTCCTAACATAAAAATACACACACGCACGAGGAATATACAACTGGCTATGAGGATACCCGGAGGAACAACAGCAAGTGAGTACTAAAAATATAATGCGCGCGCAGCAAAGAAGTAAGCTAAATTGAGGTCATTTTGATACAACATTCCTGACCTTATGATACAGCCACGTGGTACTGTGATTGTCCTTATAAACTCATTCTCGATAGTTAACTTTCCCCAGAAAAATAAATTTGATCATTAATAGTCGGGCAACACAGAAAGATCGCGAGCAAACCTTGAACTGCCCCAGGATTAGAGAAAGCATTTGAGAGATGGTTTCACTCGCAAAGAATTAGGGACCTCTGATACAGCCAGGTGTTCACTCGTAAGCATAAATACTTAATTATTTAGAATCTAAGCAAACAATAGTGAGGCAGTAGGTGTGGTAGGAGTGTGGGAGGTAACTCTTTGTAAGCTGGGATAGGTTCAGTTTTCTTCCCGCGCACTGAAAAAGGTGAGCGAGAAACGAAGCGAATAGACAGCGTTATAACAGGACTTTTTTCTCTGTCCCAGGAAATTATTTCTCAGTGGCTAGTTAATAGTTAGAGAATTTTATTGAGTACAACGTAAAGTTTCATATCTTTCGCACATGAGATGTATTTCAGTTTTTCTGGAAACCTTATGCTCGACTTTTTGTCATATTTTTTATTTGTGTTGTCTTTTCTTTATTTATCTGTTTTTTTTTTTGTTTTTTTTTTTTTGATCATCCATAGCTAATTGTACATGCATTTGTTTTCAGCTGGATGTCTTCTTGCATCACCGTTTCCTGTATAATTTGCTTAGGTGCCGCGTTTTAGTCAACAGTGGCCATTAAAAAAGAGCAAACGCATTGATGTTTGCTTGCTGATACAGCCTTTTGACCTCTGAACAGGGTATGTATCAAAGAAAATTTACATACATGTCAATGATGTCATAAAATTTATGAAAATTAATCTAGTGAACAAAGAGTTTATTGTTTGACGCCTGATACCACAGGGCCCCCAGACAAGCGATGAGTCTGGTTGTTTATTCGAAATATAAAGGAATGTATGGGAGAATATTGAAGAGTCCTATTGTCGTAAACTTATATCATGAAATGTCTGAGTTAAAGGTCAAAATAAATGTAAACCTACCTCACTTGCTGTGTGTTGTCGTTTGTGTGGCTCTAAATGGCGAATTTGAGCGATTTGGTGGGTTTTGCGTCAACTGTTACGATTATTTTGACAGTTCAGTTAATAGTCGACTTCAGTTCGCTTAAATACTTATGTATTTTAAAAAATTATGTCGGTCACTTGAGTAAACTGAATGAGAGGCAATTATTAGTCGGAGCCATGAGTTTCAATAACCATAAATTCCACTCAGCTCTATCCTTTCTTGAAGGAGCTGAGCTCCTTCTCTTGCTTTCACACGTGCGCAAATCAGACCAGTAATGAATTTCGTCCGGCAGTTCCTGATCTCCGAGTCACGGTTATTGCAGCCAAATAAGGAATGAGGAGTGACGTGGTAGTCGTAATGGTTTTACGTAAATGTCATGTCTGAATGACCAATAAAGGAGGAAAAAAAACACACACACAAAAGTTTCAGGCTACGCTGACACACTGATGTAGCCAGAGCGTGAGTGACCTTTTTTTTTCATGCAAGCGGAAAGAGTCACGCAAACGCTAGCGAAAGTCACGAAAGGACTGATAACGTACAAAATCTTACAAAACAATCAGTTTATTTTGTTCATTATTATCATTAGTGTATGAAGTTCTTTGTATTACCTTGGTTTGACATGCATACTTAAGAATGGATGAGGATGGAAAAGTTGAATACGGATGGTAAGAGAGTAGGCCGGATAATCTGTGTTTTAAACCCTGGACATTTTCCAAAAATACCATCCGGTTAAGTGAGAAGCCGTTGTTTAGAAGTTTAGCCCAAGTTCATTCGCCCAAAAAGTCTTCTCAGGGGGTTCCTTCGTTTTTCAATTAAGGTCACGCGGCGCTGAACTTACTCATCAGAGCTGTGGGTTTTTTTTTTTGGAACATACAGTATAACAACATCAAACGCTAAGGAAGACATGGCAGCAGCTATGCCGGAAAATTCATTGACTCAAACGAGTCATAGACATCATACTCCATAATTACTCTACTAGGTATGCCACTAATCAAAACTTGTACAGACCATTCTCTAGAACCGATTATGGTCTAGCAAGATTTAGTGTGGTGGCATCACAGATCTGGCAAACGATACCTATTAAAATAAAGTGTCTCCCTTCCAAAAGCTTTAAAAAAGAATATAAACTCTTCTTACTTGGCAGGCAGACATCTTGAACAACTTTAACCTATCATAGAGCTCTATTTTACTATTTTAACTATTTATTTTATGTGCTGTCTCCTTAAGTGTATTTAACTTTCACCCATCCGTAACTGCTCTGTGGTAGTGGCCAACTCGAAAGCTTTGGCTACTACACACTCTTTCCACTGCTTTGTGTAAATTCATGCATAGTTAGAACCCTCTTCTTTTTTTTTTTCTGCTTTTTCTCTTTCTCGTTGTTGTAATTTTAGTAGAATAAGTGTGAATAAAAGAATGAATGAATGAATGAATGATAATACTCACTTAAAGGAAAATTCAAAATGGATCGAAACAGATCTCTTTGCAGGAACTTCATGTGTGCCATAATAAGTCTTTGCGACTGGCAAATATAATTCACAATCATTATTTGGAGATTAGGTGTTAATTTCGACGGCTTTAAGTAATGTTTCATGTTTCGATATTCATGGCAAGGGACGAAATTATTCATAGTCTTGACTCAGAATAAAAAAAAAGCTACCTAAAGCAATTACACAGGTGACGATATTCCGCTACTGCTCTCCTATCTCATGAAAATTTGCCGCTGGATATTGTTCTGATCTTACTGAGAAGTGAAAGTGTTGCAATTAGATGTAGGTGTCTGAGCGCAAAAGTCCATGCATGTGTTACAGGCATTTATTGTGCACCGTGCTTTTTATTAGGTCGTGCGTGTGTGCGTGCGAACACGAAGGCAGTTAAAACATGTTATAATGATCATAAATTTTGCGTTTAAAGTTTTTTTAAAAAGGCTTCTGCATACTTACCATTAAACAAATCTTTCAAATAATTGATTCTTTGTATTTTACATTTATTTAGCTTTACAGTGAGATAGACTTTTCGAGGGTTTTGATATATACTTTTTAAAGCCACGCGCGTACGAACGATATTCCGGAATACACCGCTTAAGGTCTACAGTAACCACGCATCTGTGACTTATCAGATCGGTCGTAAAATCTAAGACCTCCAAGCAGATAAACCTTATCATGTGGTCGTTCGCGCTCGGCGGATTAGAGCTAAATTGTTGAAATTAGCCTCCAATAAAATCTCTCGCGTTTGTTGCCCAAATCTCAAGTATAAAGACAGTTATGACTGGAATTTCTAATTGCTATTAATTTGATTTAATTCATCCTTAAAAGCGCGAGAAAACTAGTATTTGAGTTATCCTTGTCCAGCCGAAGCGTGCAGAGGTCTGTCAGAGGTGTCGAGGGTTCACGACCGTTTCACTACGAAGTTCGATGAGATTAACAGGGAAGGTGATTGATCCATCGAGAGTTCTCTAATTGTCTTTTCTCAAGTCACGAATGTACATTGGCACTAATTAAACATGATAACCTTTTAGTAAAACTACAATTCCTTGATTGTACTATTACTGCAATCAACGAATCAACGAAGCTAGACTGGTGATTCCTGCTCAAACTGAGTTGGTATTGTATTCAAATGACGCTCCGGAGTGCAGCGTTAGATTGATTCACAAATCGCTGAGTTTTGTGTGTTTTATTCCCTTCATAAGGTGGAGTTGTTTATTTTATCCAGCGAAAAAACTTTACCACCAGGGGTCCAAAAATGCCAAAGACAAGCCCGAGGGTTTCAGCACTCGATCAAGTTACAAAGACGACCTGATATTTATTCCCGGATGCAGAGAAGTTTGTTCAGTTCTTTTGGCAAGTTTGATGTAAGTCAAGAGCTTTGTCCCTTTTCAAACAGGAACTATTGACACTGATCTTACTTAACGAATCCAGGCTTGTCGCCAACAGATAGGCAGCTTTTGAAATAGCTTGGAGTTCTCGCTCCGTCTTAGCAGTTGTTTTATTGTTTTGTATTATCTTCTTGAACGCTTAGAACGCAAAGTCAATTGATTTCGTATAGAGCGCTACGAGGTTTTCCTTGCCTTCATAGAATTCCCTCTTTCCCTCTAGTGCATTCAGTGATGAATACAGGATTTTGAACACTGGTTACTTCTTTATTTTCTTCAGTAATTATCGACACCGCTCCCTCTTTCTTGTGCAGTGAGCTTTGAACGTGGGAAAGGAAGCGCGGCAAATTTGAGGAAAAGAACCTGTCTCTGCCTGATCGATGCTCTTTTACCAAGCACTATGTTATCTTTGATGATTCAAGGTATGTTTGCTACCAGCATCAATTACCGTTAGATTTCTTTAAGTTTTGATAAGGAAATACGTTTTATTCAAGAGGAAATAACGGGATGTGGCACTGTTTTATCTTGGTGTTATAATTATTCACTAGAAATATTTCCTGAGAACGTTATATTAACTCAAGCTATAAATTAAGACAAAAGTTTACAAACGTCATACATTATAATAATTTTAACTAATTTTGAATGTAAAAAATGCGAAAAGTTAACCACATTATACTTACTTTTTTATCCTTACATTATCGACTCTGCGCATGACCGAGAGACCCTATCCATGCTTGTTAACTTTCGCTGAGGGTAATGTTTTAGATTTAACACATTAACTCCCCTGAGTGACCAAGACAGAATTTCTCCTAACAATATCAATACGTTATCAAGCAGAGAAGTGATGAGAAAACAGAAAATTATTAATTAGGGGATTCTAGTTAATCCAGGACCAAATTCTCCAAAGCTAAAGTCAAGAATTGCATCTTGGGATCGGAAGGGTTAACGCCTAGGATTTTCCCATAGAGAGTGAAAATATCCGTGTGCGACTGTATGCAGTGGAATATTATATTTTCCCACATCCACGTAGAAAGAAATCATTGCTTTGTAAAAAAAGAATCGCAATTTTTCGTCCTTACTATCATTTGGAAAGGGAGACACAAGCAAATGTAAGACTTTTCAAGTCTGGAGCAAAACGTTTTGTGTTAAAAATCTTTGTAAGGTGCGTTTTAAGTCTGAAGTTAAACTACCACCAACTTGAAAATTTTCACGAGTATTACACCAGGAGTGGAAGTCAATCTACACAGGAATTATTCCTAAGATCAATGAATAGGATAGCTTCCACCAGACAGTGAGTTTCAAAATAATTGTACTACCCTTCCTATGGAGGTTTTGCACAGCAGCCATGTTGGATGGCAGGAACAATAGATTATTTTACCCATGGGAAAAAAATTTCTTTCCTATGCAAAATATTTTCATTGGTCCTGCCATCCAACATGGCTGCTGTGCAAAACCTCTATGGTTAGAAAATGCTGGGCGTGCTGAGCTGTTTTCACCAATTTCCCTTCTCTGTTTTTGGAAATGAGACGCTCTTCGTCTAAAAAACTTCACTTTGAACCCGCTTTAAGAGACAAATATATTCCATTTTTATTCTTTCTTGATATCGCATACCCCCTATAAAAGAATCAGGGAAGTTTTTGATAAATTGGCCACCTCTTTTCTTCAGAAGATCGAACTGAAGTCACAGACACAATCGCGAGTTGTGCAAGACCAGTACAAGAGTCACAGGCGCATCACGATGTTTATTCAGATCTTACTAGAGTCCCAAACACGATCGCCAGTTATGCAAGACCAGTTCAAGTGTCGCAGACGCATCGCGATGTTTTGTCAGATCTTACTAGAGTCCCAAACACGGTCGCCAGTTATGCAAGACCAGTACAAGAGTCGCAGACGCATAGCGATGTTTTGTCAGATCTTACTAGAGTCCCAAACACGATCGCCAGTTATGCAAGACCAGTACAAGAGTCGCAGAGGCATCGCGATGTTTTGTCAGATCTTACTAGAGTCCCAAACACGATCGCCAGTTATGCAAGACCAGTACAAGAGTCGCAGACGCATCGCGATGTTTTGTCAGATCTTACTAGAGTCCCAAACACGATCGCCAGTTATGCAAGACCAGTACAAGAGTCGCAGACGCATCGCGATGTTTCGTCAGATCTAACTGAAATCACAAACACAATGGCCAGTCTTCCGAGACCTGTGCAGGAGTCTCAAATCCCTCATGATATTTTACAAGGCCTAACTGGCGTAACAAACACGATCATCAGTTTCGTGAGACCTGTGCGGGAGTTACGAACCCATCACGTGGTTTTGTCGGGTCTACCTGAAGTTACAACTACCATGCCCAGTCTTGCAAGACCTGTGCAAGAGTCACAAAATTATCACGATGCTACGCAAGTCCTAACTGAAGTCGCAAACATAATCCCCAGTCTTGCAAGACCTGTGCAAGAGTCACAAGCCTATCACAATGTTTTGCAAGACCTAACTGGAGTCCCAAACGCGATGGCCAATTTTGCAAGACCTGTACAGGAAACACAAACCCATCACGGTGTTTTATCAGACCTAACTGAAATCACAAACACAGTGGCCAGTCCTACAAGACCTGCGCAGGCACAAACACAATAACCAGTCTTCTAAAACCTGTACAAGAGTCACAAACACATCGCAAAGCATTGCAAGATCTAACTGAAATCTCAAACACAATGGTCAGTCTGACAAGACCTGTTCAGGAGTCACAAACCCATCATCATGTATTGCAAGGCCTTACTGCAGTCATACACAATGTCCACTCTTGCAAGACCTGTGCAAGAGTTACAAACCCATCACAACCTTTGGCAAGCCCCAACTAAAGTTGCAGATACAATTGCTAGGTTCTGCAAACCTTGTACAGGAGACATAACGTAGAGCCTATTTTCTAAAGTCTACGTGCTATAATATGGATAAAATTGACCAGATAAAATAAAAGCTTGCGAGCGCAGTCTTAGATATAGAAGAATCGTATCATATCCAACCTTATGTGAAAGATACCAAATAGAGTACACAATGCTCTGGTAATACAAATAACTCAGATAACTAAAGAGGATACATTGACTCCTACTAGTATATCTTAAATGTTTTATTACACCTGGTAATTTTGTAGGAGAACAGTCTATTAAACTGATTCAAACGAGTCAAGTGACGTCCGCCTGCGATAAAGCCTGCGAACGGTCGCTCATTATTAGCCCTTCAGTTAGTAAAAGGGTCTCTTCCCGCTTGAGGAAGTTTGAAGCCATAAGCAAAGTAGGCTTACAATAGTCTACGAAGGATTTAGAAAGCCATTGAAGACCTTTCACCAGTTCCCTTTACTAAAGGCCTCAAACTTTCTTGCCCGTGAAGAAACGCACCTGCTGCAGCACTATTAGTGAGGGCCTGGGAAAGATTTCCGTCGAACCCCATACTTCATTGTACATAAAGTTCTTGGATAAAAGGAAAACAATGGCAAAACAATAGATTGCCTTGTCGAGTAAGGCTTTGACGGTTTTAGAACTAACGGGGTTTGATCCATGGAAATTTAAATGATATGCGAAGTACAGTCACTAAAATCATTTTAAAAAACGTAAAGGAATGATATTAAATGCAACTGTGATACAGTGATTTCTGTGTATACTCATAGTTAATCGAGGGGACTATGGTATACGGAAGGATATGTTGGTTGGCAATAAGAAAGATCATCGAGTTTTCACGGTTCATAAAGCAAACGCTTTTAAAGTCATTCCTCTGAAATAGGAATGGCATTGAAATTTTTTTCAAACTTTATCTATTGGTTGTTTAGCTTATAGGAACGTACAAAAAGGGGTCCCTGTGCTCCTAACGGAGCACCAGTATTCTGTAGATACCCATATTATTCCTATAATAAAATGGCAATTTTATTTACGAGTACATGCTAGAATAGCGTTTCCGGAAAATGTTCTTTTCTTCACTGATAATTGGCTTATATTTATTTTATGGAAAAAAGTCATTGAATTGTTCCGAGAAAGAGGGAAAATGATAGGTCACCGTTCTCCGCCACCATGGAGAAAAAGCCGCCATTTTTAATGTATCCGTAGACGATGTGGAATGCAATGGTTAGAAATGAGTTAACCTCAAAGACATTTGCTGGCTTCAACTTGAATATCGGTTTATACTTATTCAAACTTCACAATGATTTCCTCCGACAAAGAAAAACTATTTTTGACCTTATGATTTGTGTTTTGTTCGAACTTTCAAATAAAATATATGCTTTAATTACTACGGTAGAACATTTTGAACGATCATACCAAACATGGTGTCCAATATTCAGGAACTAAAAATGATTTAGAAAATATAAAGGAACAAACTTTCAATGACTTAAATTCAGTCAAATGCAATTGATCTCCGAATGAAGTGCGTGATAACTCACGGACGAAATTCCTTCTTCTCTCACCGAAATGATCATATTCAAGGATAAATTAGCACTGATGTAACTGTAGTAATGTAGAAATCGATGATAATAGAAGCGGAGTCTTTAACTGAGATGAATTAACCTCAAGCTAGAAAAACAAACTTGTAAGCACACGGCATTTCAAGATCGCAAAAATACATGAAAGTGCA